TGTGTGTGTGTGTGTGTGTGTGTGTGTGTGTGTGTGTGTGTGTGTGTGTATGGGATAGAGACTTGGATGTGTATGGTGGAAGAAGTAGTGATCAGGCCTTAAATGCTATACCTGGGGGAAGCCGACCAGCACCAGCAGGGTGAAGATGTTGGTGTGCTTCAGCTGGAAAGGCAGCTGCTTAATGCAGTAGTCTGTGAAGGTGGCAATGACATCTCGCCACAGTGGGGCACTGTTGAGTGACCGCAGGATCTCTGCCATGGAACATGCCCAATCCAAGCCCACACGGCTAAAAGGAAAGAGGTGGGTTAGATGGAATTGCACAAGGCTCCAAACCCAAGTCATCAGAGCTTACTACACTCCAAGGCAGACCTAGCCTTTCATTAGCTATCTTAAAAACTACTAGAATGAGAGGCATATATAAACAGTGTATTATTTGACTGGCAGCATAGCTCAAGTGGTAGAGTACCTGCCTCGCAAGTGTGAGGCCGAGTTCAACTGCCCCCATCCCAAAAGAGCTACCAGAATGATGCTTTTCATATAAAGTGAAAAAAATCAAGATCTTTTAATTTATATATTCAGTCTACAACTATGTTTTAAAATATAAAGTCATCCACACACGTGTAAACATGCACAGTCACATATACACTTAGAAAAAAATTCACGCACCAGATCTATTAATATGGCACAATCAGGGTGATTTTTTTCACTTCTGCTTTCCAAATTTGGTATTGTGGTTATGTTACTTTTATAATGAAAACAGATTTTTCATTCCAAGATCTATACTTATTCCTCTCAGAATAAAAACCCCACCAGACTATATATCATTAGAGAATTGAATTGGCAGACAGTGCTGAGGGTCTTAGCTATTTCAGTGTGGACTGACAGCATTGCTAATAAAACCAATTCTATTGTCACAGAAGGATCTCAGACAATAGCACTGAAGCATACTGTAACTCATCAAGTACCAGACCTTTGACCTCAATGAATGCCATGATGGGTAGAGTGGAGGTTTGGTGAATGAGAACCAAGGCTACCTGTCTAAGCACACAGCTCCTAGGCTGAAGAGCAGGTGAGTGGTCTTCCAGCCATCTGGCACAATGGCACTGTCCCCTGTAGCAAACAGGTTGTGTTTGGCTGAGAGGACCTTGATCACTGCGGCATCTACCTCTGCAGGTAAAAGACGGATGATTAACTGGCCAAGAAGACCCAGGGTGAGGTGGTAGGTTTCATTCAGGTGGCCTGCGTTGGAGATGACAACCTGAAACATGAGTGGGAGGACGTGCTCCAGGTCTATCAGGGGGACTGTGGGACCCTGCCAAGAAAGAGGAAAAATGTCTTCAGTATAAAAACCCAAGCAGGGGATGGAGACTTAGCTCAATGCTAGAGTGCTTGCCTAGCATGTTCAAGTCCCTGGGTTCAATCCCCAGAACCATCAATCAATCAATACATACACACCACAAACTATACTGAAAAAAGCCCACAAAAACAAAATCCAAGCAACCACACCATCTAAACACTCCATCTCCTTTGTGTTCTTTTTACAACTGGCCTGGTGCCCACAGAATTATGCAATGGCTTTCATAAGTGGCATATGTGCAATATATTGTAATACATATGTACATATATATATATGTGTATATATATATATATATATATATATATATACACTGATCTTTAGTCCTACTCTTACTTATTACTTT